AGGGGCTGCAACTCGTGCCTCTCGTTGGGATGATGTATGAACTCACTCTAAAGTTGCTTCTGAATCAATAAACTTATTATTATTCATCAAAAAAAACATCATTTATCAAAATTGAGTAATGCACTGAGTTTATACATCCTTTTATCCACATTCTCCAATGATCACCTAAACCGATCTTCTCTAAATTCTCTAGGAGGAACTGCTAGTCTGCCAATCCACTAAACCATAAGCCTTTTCTAAGCCCAATTTTCAAATCAGACTCTTCCCTCCCAACTTCTTATCTGCCACACATTCATTTGCAATCAAAATTCCCTCAACAATTTGAAATTGGGAAATTAATGAGGGAAAAACTTTTTAAATCTTTCAGAGAGGACCTTCGCTATTATTTTGTAGAGACTCCCCACTAGACTTATGAGTCTGAAGTCCTTCGGTCTTGGCTTCCTTCTTTTTTGGCATCAAAGCTGAGTATTGCCACTCATTTTTTGGGGGGAATCTCTACAAATAGCAGTCAATTTGATTAATGGATTGCCATCAAAGGTGCTTTATAACCAGTCTCCATATCAGCCTTTTAAGCACAGATGCACTTATGAACTTGCCTTCAGTCTTCCCTTAAGTATTTGGGTGTGCGTGCATGATATGAGTCCCACAAAAGTCAAATCCAGCCCAAGGTTCTCAAGTGTCTTTCTTGGTTATTCCTAACCCTACTTCTAGTAAGTAGCTTGTCTATAAAAATGTTACATTTTTAACCAGTGCCTTACTTTTCTTCTTATGCCTTCTCTTATCCTTTTGTTGTCCTTATTCCTAATTCTTCTACCATTCCTATTAATGTATCAAGGATAGAATTTTAGGTGTATACCAAGCATAAGAAGAGGTAGTGTAAAATTCCCTCAATGGAAGGAAGCCATAACTCAAGAGATGGAGGCACTAGAAAGAATCAAACCTAGGAATCGGCTGAACTTTACCAACACAAAAAACATGTTAGATGTGAGATGTATACAATGAAATTTGAAGCAGACGTATATAGCATTGAATTTCATCAAGAGCAGTATTTCATTGGGATTTTGGCCCTTTTTCCTTTGTTAAGACTACATGTTAAAGTTGTGAAACAGAGAACAAAAGCAGGCATCCATACGTGATACGACTAGGCACTCTTAAATAGAAAAATAGAAATAAAAATGAAAGGAGAAACCCAAACCAACCACAATGTTTTCATTTAGTGTATCCCTCTCTTCAAACGTCTTATCCAATGTGATTTTTCCCAGTTCACTACGCATTGTCGTCTGAGCGAGCTGAATAACTGCAAATATCGGATTCTCAACACCATACGATGCTAAGAACGCGTCGACAATCTGTAACCAAGAGAACATAATCATCAAAATAAACCCATCAAAAAAAAAAAAAAAGATACATAAAGAATTTGCAAATAACAAAGGTAAATAAGTAATTTAAAATGCACCTTTACGTACAGTACTCCATCAATCAAGATGCTGACATTATCTTTTGTTATAGCAGATTGGTCAGGAATGGGAATGGCCTCTTCCTTTAGGGAGTGCACATAAGCGATTCGATCAACGAGGGGAATCAAAAAGTGAATTCCCGAGTCGAGGGTCTTCACGTATTTCCCGAATCGTTCAACGACGTAAGCCTTCTTTTCCGGGACAACTCGGATGCCCCAATTGGTCGGGGGCGTAGTTTCATATCTATCCCCAATTTCCCAAAATTAATAAAGTATATATAGACTAAGGTTCAGAGAAAACAAGAAAGAAGAATGGGACCAAATGATCAGAGTTTAGAGATGGAAACAGGCTGACCTTAAACTGATATCATCTCGATGATGACGACCGCCTCGGAAATAGCGAACCGAGGTACCGACTGGGGTTGGGATTTGAGATGACCGAAAGGAGAGGGGTTGGGATCTTATCTCAAGCAGCGACGGCGACGACAGTAATGAGAGCTTTCTGCAGTCTCTTGATGCTTCCCCAATCAAAGATCTCAAAGCAGTCTTAACAGAGTTAACTTTCCAGATTGGCATTTCTTCTGTCTCGTTCCGTTAGAACTTAGAAGTAGGAAGAGAAAGAGAAAGTAAGCTAAATTAACAGCTTGGAGAGGACCCCAAAAGCCCTTGAAAAAAACCCTTATTGCACGAAACAATACCTGATGTGAATGCGCAATCCTGCTTCTTCTTGGGCTTGTCTTCCTTTGTTACAGAGCCCTCGGTGGGAACTTGGAACCTGAAACTTGGAAGCAAGAAATGCAAAATACCCCTGCTTGGAGGTTGGAGCTCAGGGCTCACTCAGCATTGTAACCTGGTTGTTAGCAGACTTTGGCCGGGATGATCATTTTCAGCCCGGCCCGGAAATTCTGAATTGGGCCTAGGGTTTGCAAAATTCTGGACCGGGCCCGAGACCAATACTAGCCCGGCACAGCCTGCACAAGTATAGTATCATACTATCATTTATAATTTTAAACTATATTGAATATTTAATGGTGTCCATCTAAGTTCAATTCATATATTATTTTTTGGGTTATGCTTAGTTTATTCAATCACAATCTAAATTGCGCTTTAGTGAGAAAGTGACCAATTTCTTATTTTCTAGATAAATTTATATTATTTTTTATCTTAATACTAATTTTTATTATTTTTCTTGAAAAACAATTATTTATTTATTTTTATTAGTTTATTATTTTTTTTTGTATCATTTTAGGTAAAATTATAAAACAAAATCCTCTTATAACAATTCTATAAACCACCTTTGTGTTTTGACCCTAACAAAGGCCCCCTTTAGTTTTGAGAAAAATGTGCAAATACCTCTTTTCCCTTGGCTTTTTGGGTAACAAAGACATTGAAGTTACCAACTTTACCCTCCCCTATAGTTTTGAGAAAAAGTGCAAATACATTATAATACATAATTTAAAATTTCAACCTTACCCTTCACTAATTTATTTTGCAAGACAACTTTCAAAGAATAATCCCCTTGACAAAATAAGGTAAAAAGGTTGAAGTAAAGTAAAATTAATGCATTATATCAATATTTTTTATTTGGAGTGTTGATAAAAGGCTTTTGTTAAGGTCAAAACATTGGGGAGTTTCATAGAATTGTTATAAAAACCCAAGGAGTAGGTTTTTTATAATTATCCTTATTTTTAAATGGAATTTAAATTGATTTTAAAATAATTAAACTTATTTTAAGTGTATTAAATTTTGATTAAATCTAAATTACTTATAAAATTTAATTAACTATATAAATTTTTATTCTTCTGTGGATCTTAAGTTGGTTTTAAATTAATAAAATTTAATTATAAAACTAATAATTGTTTGATAATCTTGTATTATTAATTTTAAATTGATATTAGTTTTTAATTTATCTTATTCCTTTTATTAATTAAATTCTTTTTATTAAAATAATAAAAATATGTTTATCAATAATTATAATTAATTAATAATTATTTTTATTTTATTTAAGTGACTCACAAAATTATTTTTATTATGGTTAATTAATTTTTACTATTTTCAAATGGGTTATAATTTTAAATGGAAGTAGATTATTTAGCGCAATAATTAAATAACTTGATTTTAAATGGATCATAATTCTCAAAGATATAATTGAATATCTCAATTTTAAGATAATTAATCTTTACTAATAATTATAGTTTAATGCAAATATATCTAATATACATAAAATTATAGTTAAATTGAAATAGATATATAGATAAAATTAATATTTTATGCAATTTAATGGAGTAATGGAGATGAGAGAGAATTAGTAGCATGAGTTATTTTAATGAGGAGAGATTATTAAAAGAGTTAATGGGAGAGAGAGAGAGAGAGAATGGTGTATTAATGAGTGCTAAAAGTTTTAAAGGTGCTTGGTCACTTGAGTTATTTTGTTCAATTTAAAATTAGAAAATTCAAAAAAAAAAAACTGAAAAAAGATAGGCCCCACGTAACATATATAGAGGACTTTCATTAATGGAATGTTTAGAACTTGTATTATATTGCCCCACAAGTCTTATGACTAAAAACCAAAACATAGAAGTTTCCTATGTTAAACAAAGGGAAGATTTAAGAAAACCACAACTGATAACCAGTTCTATGATTAATACCTCCTTTTTTATACTACCAATATTGCTCCATAAGTTCTATGACTAATACCTCAATTTTTTGCATCACTTCAATAAATGATAGGGACGACCAAAAAAACATAACTAATTGGAGGATTGCTTCCCTTCTATTTTGCACCCAAGTGAAAGCCGGTATCCACGCTTCCAAAATGGGAAAAAAGTGTTGAAAATGCGTTGACACCCCTATTACACCCAAATCCTCCATTGGATTGGAATCTCCTATAGACCAGTTTGGTTTCAGTTGTGGATATGAGTCAAGGAAGGAAGGTGCGAGTGAAATGAGAAGAGACTGGAGAGTAGGCACTAGGCAATATGATGAAGGGTCGTGGGGAGGAGGAAGAGTTTCGGCGTAGGTGGTTTTTTCTTATTATTGAGGGAGTTTCTCCTTCTCTTTCAATCCATTTATGTCATGGATAGGGCTTAGTTTCAATTGGCCATCCAAACTCTCCTCTTACAACTTAGATCTGGAATTAGTCTTCCATCATATCTCGGGTTTTCCAATGGTAAGATTTTTTATGGAGTCAACGACAATAGGGTATACKYAAGATTGACATACAAGTGGCATAGGTCTAGGGATATGGTGTTTGTAGCATCAAAGTAGAAGAAGAATGAATGCATGAAAATGATATGTTTTGAAATTTGAATAAACAATCAAGGATAATTTTGTCTTTTACATTTTATCTAGAGTAAATTACAAAGACCCCCTTGTATGATGGGCATACAGATAGAAAACAGTTTTTTTTATTTGTATGTGTGTGTGTATGTATGTATGTATTTATGTATGTATGTATGTATGTATAATAAAAAATATTTAAATACTAGGCTCGCGAGCCTCACAAGCTGAGTTTCACTGGGCTCAAGCTCAGCTCGACTAGCAAACGAGCCTATATATCGGGCTCAAATTCATCTCGAAGCTCGGTTTAAACCTAGCCAAATCAAGTTCGAAAAGCTCGCAAAAGGCTCGACTCGTGGCCACCCCTGGAAGCAAGGTGTTGTAGAAGATACATAATCAAGAATAAACAAAGATTCCTTAAATTACCAACTAGAAAGTTGACAATAAGGAGGAAATATGAAACTTCAATGAGAGCTCTCTTGTTCAAGCTTTTTTTTTCTTGTATATTAATGGTGTTTATGGAAGTTAAGGAGAAAGACTATAAATTTAGGGCGACATGGGTCCTGAGAGGTCAAAGCCTCCTTTCAATGGAAAATTTTATCGACATGCTTTCTTAAATGCATGAAAGTGGATTCAAATGGAAAAAATTCCTCCTTTGAATGAAGATTTTCAGCTTCTAAAGGCCAATTCATAAGGCTGGTCACCCGATGCAAGGAATCTACAGCATTGAAGCAAAGATATTCCATCAGCTTCAAAAGCCTCAAGGACACAATTAGTTACCACACATTGAAGCTTTTTTAGGGAAATCCAAGATTAATAAGGATGTAGACGATGGGCTTGAAGAGACAAAGGTGGTATCCAAGAGTAACAAGGGATATCTGAACCATTGCTAAACGCTGTGATTATAAATGTGTGTGAATACAATAAAGAGACAAAGCAATGATTTTAGAGATGTGTAAATACAATAAAGAGATGAAGCAATCATATAAAACAGGTATATTGGAATTTTTTTTTTGGTTATTACAATTCATTTCTAATGATGGTTTTGACATTGGGGCATCACAATTTTAACCTTACTAATGTCAACATAAAATCCACATTATTTAGGGCTAACCACAAAGCTATTGAGTTCAACTCATTCCCAGTAGTGATTTGAGCATTGTAAAGTTGGGACAACCACGACCACAATGATGACCAAATTGCAAATGAAACATCAATGGCCACATCATAAAGAGAACTTTGGTTCCTATTAAATTATAGTTACAATCACCTTTTCACAGTGGATTTAAAACCACCTCATTCAGCATTCAAAAATTTTGACAAAAACAATGAGGCATGAATTCATAATCATCGTTAAAAGAGATTGTACATACAATTTAAAAGGATCGAAAGTTTGATATAAGTGTAATGAGTCAACGATAGCAGATCACAAGTGAAGCTTCAATGGCCATGTCACGTGATATAAGTGCATTGTGCATTATGAATCAATAACACCAAATTGTAAATAAAGCCTCAATAGTCATGCCATACGAAATAAGTGCATGCATCGGGAAAGAGGGCACCTCAAGTACTGAGGCCTTACAAGGACACGTGACGATTCTCCAACCAGCCTAGGTGGTATAGATTGGGCGGATTCTAAACCTTCAAAAGTAAGGGGTAGCCTATACATGAAAATGCCTCTAAATTTTGGATGATGCATAATGACTGAACATCCAAATTGAGTTTGGGTTCACTCTATGGCTGAAATTTGTATGGAGCCTCTACCCACCAATACAAGGAATGTGGGAGTGATGGGCCTCCCAAGTTCAAGAAACAAGACAAGACTTTCCAAACTTTGCTAATTACGTTATCAAAAAATATCCCGAAAAGACTCTAGAAAATTCTAGCTAGAATGTTGAATATCTCCATTCACAACAAATATAATACCCACTTAGGGGCCCTTGTCACAAATGGGAGAGTTATAAGGAAAACTTTTGGGGACTTAAAGAAAAAATTTTCTAAGAAACTAGCAGGGTGGAGGAAAAATACCCTCTTTATGGCTGGGAAACTAACACTTATAATTACGGTTACAAATATGATACCCCAATTTCTAATGAGATCTTTCGTGCTCCCAAGTAACATAATTGAGGATATAGAAAAATTGCAAATGGGCTATACCCTCTTTATGGCTGGGAAACTAACACTTATAATTACGGTTACAAATATGATACCCCAATTTCTAATGAGATCTTTCGTGCTCCCAAGTAACATAATTGAGGATATAGAAACTTCATGTGGGCTAATTCAAGTGGTAAAAAACTAGTTCACTTAATTAATTGGAATAGGGTTTGTACCTCCAAAATGTGGGGTGGATTTGGATTGAAAAACCTAAATTGGATTAATGAAGCAAACCTACTTATATTTGGCTAGAAGATTTCAAATAAGGAAAATAATCTATGGGTCAATGTGGATAAACGCAAGTACCTTAATAAAAAATTTTAAAGTGCAAAAGAGAAGAAAAAAAGGCATTTCATGGGCCTAGAGGGGTATCCTAATAAAGGCTAGGGACCTGATTCAAAAGGGCATAGGATGGGAAATTGGAAAT